AGCCGTAGGTGCTGCCCTATATATATATTTTTGTTTTGTTTTGTTTTGTTTTGTTTTCCCCAGGTTAGGGGAAACTGGGGAAACTTCCTGTTAGGTCCAGGAAATTCTTGGGTCTTAGGTGAATTGGGCCCTATTGGCCAAATGCAGCCACAGCCATTTCTCTGGAAATGTTACCTCTCTTGTGGCCCCTCCCCCAGGAAAAGGAGCACAGCTCAGTCTCTGCTTCTCAGTCCCTGATACTTGCTGTAAGGGACGCGCCCCCACCCAGATCCCTCTGTTACACAGCTTTCTAAATTTGTATCTGCACAGAAATTCTTTCCATTTTTCCTTGAAAGCTAGGCTTTTGGGATTGAGAAGCTAAAAAACGGACTCTGCATTCTGTTTATCAATTGCTTCCTAAAGTAACAATGGAGAATATAACCTTAACTATCTTTGTGAGGGAAGGGCTGAGGGACACCACGGAAAAAATGAAAAAAGTATTTCAAAATGTTAATAGCCAACGGGCACGGTGGCTCACACCTGTAATCCCAGCACTCTGAGAAGCCAAGGTGGGTGGATTGCTTGAGCTCATGAGTTCGAGACCATCCTGAGCAAGAGTGAGACCCCCTCTCTCAAAAATAGCCAGGCATTGTGGCAGGTGCCTGTAGTCCCAGCTACTTGGGAGACTGAGGCAAAAGGATCGCATACGCCCAAGAATTTAAGGTTACTGTGAGCTATGACACTATAGCATTCTACCAGGGGTAAGAAAGTGAGACTCTGGGCTTGGTACCTGTGGCTCAAGTGGCTAAGGCGCCAGCCACATACACCTAAGGTGGCGGGTTTGAATCCAGCCTGGGCCTGCCAAATAACAATGCTGGCTGCAACCAAAAATAGCCGGGCGTTGTGGCAGGCGCCTGTGGCCCCAGCTACTTGGGAGGCAGAGGCAGGAGATTCGCTTGAGCCCAGGAGTTGGAGGTTGCTGTGAGCTGTGATGCCACAGCACTCTACCCAGGGCAACAGCTTGAGGCTCTGTCTCAAAAAAGAAAGTGAGACTCAGTCTAAAAAAATTAAAAGTTAGTGTCCCATTGGAGTCTTGACTGCCTGCTACTCATTGTCATTGCCTTTGTTCAAACACACACATGAACCCTTACTGCATATTCAGCTAAGGTGGGGCGGCCCACCTGATGATAGAACCCCCGAGGAGTCTGAATGCTCAGGTGGCACAGAGTGTCTCTCCCCACCCCCTCTTGCCTGTAGAGAACAGTACAGGGGTCTCTCATTTGTGGGGAGGAGACTAGAAGGGTTTTAAGGAAGCTTGGTAGGCAGTAGCTTGAAGTTCAGCTCTTCCTAGGGGCATACAAGTACCACAGCACCTCCAGCCTGAGGGAGGCCAAGGAGAATATCCAGTTTGGCAAGTTTGTGTTTCACATCCCTCACTAAAGGGTCCCCAAGGGCAGGAGGGGTCCCTTGAGTTCTCATCAATGTTTCAGAGGACTTAGAGAAACAGCACATAGTTTGTTATGGGTGACCAAACTGGCTCAGTCTCTGCTTTGGGGGGACTTATACCAATAGCATGGTGGATTTCTCTGATCACAAACTCTGATAGCTGTAATCTGAGGCTGTCATCAATGAAAAGAAGTAACTTGATCAGGTTGTATGGAAGAAAATTTGCCAAATATGAGGCTTGTGTGGAAGAAAAAGACTAAAATAGTCTCTGAAGGTGGGACGGTTGGGACCTACTCCATCATTTTAAAGTTGAGGAAACAGACTGAGAAAGGAAAAAGAACTTTTCCCCAGATCCCGTGGCTCATTTAGATACAGTGCCAAGATGGGCATCATAATAGCCATCAAAAATAGCTACTGTTCCTCAGATAACAATTCAGTTCTGGCCAGTAGGGTCAAATTTTCGTTTCCTTATATTCCTGATGTCATTTTTTTATAGGTTTCTTTGTTTTTGTATAATTGTGTATATGTGTGCCAACAGCATACTGGGGAGGACACGTGAAGGTGATCTTGTCATAGGCCTCCAAAAGGTATAATCCTATAGGAGAGAAAATCTAATAAAGTCTGATAAGTATTCCTCCCCCCCCCAAAAAAAATAGCTACAGTTGCAGGGCGCAGTGGCTCACACTTGTATTCCCAGCACTCTGGGAGGCTGAGGACGGTGGATTGCCTGAGCTCACCGAGTTGGAGACCAGCCTAAGCAAGAGTGAGACCCTGTCAAAGTTGGAGTTTGCTGTGAACTATGACACCATGGTACTCTACCTAGGGTGATAGCTTGAGACTCTGTCTCAAAAAAAAAAAGTAGCTACTGTTTGTTGACTCACTGTGTGCCATATCCTGTGTTAGGGCCTCTGATATCCTATAAGGACAGAGCTATTGCCTGGTATCACCAGACTTCCAGCATCTAGCTCAGTGGTCTGCACCTAGCAGCATGCCATTGATTTTTGTGCAATCAAAGTTATCTTATTCTATTATTATAACAACCCTATATACTAATAGCCTCATTTTATAGATGAGCAAACAGGCAAACAGGCTCAGAGACGTTAAGTAGCCTGCTCAAGGTGACCAACAGAATCAAGCCCCATGATCTTAACTACTACTTATGTTTCCCAGCACTTTTTTTTTTTTAATTTTTTAAGACATGGTCTTACTCTATCACCTAGGCTGGACTGCAGTGGCGCCATCCCAGCTCACTGCAGCCTCAAACTCCTGGGCTCAAGTGATCCTCCTACTTCAGCCTCCTAAAGTGCTGGGGTTACCATGCCTGAGCCACCCACATCTGGCCTTCCAGCACTCATAACATTGTATCAATGACAAAGTAAGATAACTGATGTCTCTGCTCATCTCAGTGGTAATACCCAACCACAGAGTCTTATACCAGTGGTTCAACTTTCCCAATGCCGCAGCCCTTTAATACAGTTCCTGTGGGTCGCGACCCACAGGTTGAGAACCGCTGGTCTTACACTGAAAGCTTGCCATACTAAGGCCTTGGGGCTTGGCCACAAAGACAAACTGGAGCTAGCTAGTAAGCAAGACTGGGTTTCAGAAGACTGAGGAAGCCCCGTAGGGCCAAAAGTCTCCTTCCTTCCCTCTGTGATAGGCAAGACCTTGTCAAGCAACCATCTTGTGCTGTTGTGACAGGTGTCACTTTGGTATGGCAGCACCGTCTGCCAGTAAGCCCAGGGTTGGAGAGCTAGCAGGAGAATATGTCACTGTGTGTGTCACCCAGCAGTCTCCTCATGTTGGTATCCTGGTGACAGTTTTTCATTTCCTCTGGCTGGCACCTCTAGTTTCTATTCATTACCTCTTCTCCTCCCCTTTTTTTCTTCCTCCTCTTATCCTTGTTAAAATCCTATATTTTCAATCACTTGAGAGTCTCCTGGGGGGTGAGGATGGTGGTGTCAGCCCTGAGTGATTCATTTAGCTGATAATTAGAGCTCTGGAAAACCCAAAACTCATTCTTGTCAGAGTCAGGGTTTCGGGAATCCCTAGGCTTTTCCTTTTGTCAGGGAGAGGAGCTTGTGGACTGGGTCCTGGCTTCTTTGTGTCTACCTTCTGGTTATACACCTGCAACTGAGTTGCGTGTGCACTCACTGGATCCTCTGAGAAGTTGTTTCTATAATTCGCTGAGTTCTCAGAGTGGTCCCACAAAGTATTATCCCTATTTGGACAAAAGAGGAAGGTTAGGGAAAAAGCACATAGTTGCCCAACGTGTAAGGGATGTCCCAGGTTTTAAAGCCAAGCTTTTTGGAACCTACCAGCGTTGGTTCAAATCCCAGCCCTGCTATGACTGGCTGTGTGTCTTTGGACAGATTCCTTTTCTGAGCACTTAGTTTCCACATCTGTAAACAGCCACCTAAAGCTAACGTCTCTAAAATGCTTAACACGGGGTGTGGCACAACAGTGGGAGCTGTTCATGGGCATTCAGAGAGACAAAGAAAAGGACACAGGCAGAGGCAGCCAGACCTCACTTATACCAACTCTCATGTCCTGGCAATGCCTGTGTGGAGGTGACGAATGCACATACACACACAAGTGCCTGGCTACACACCCTAGGAAAACCAAGCTATGCACACAAGCTTAGACATGTGTGCCCACACATGGATACAGAGTGACCCAGGGGACAGCTGGAAAAACAGCCAAGAGTTACAGTCATAGCAGCAAGTACCGTGACTCACTTCGCTGAGACAAAGGAGTGGGGCTATGGCCGCTGGTGCTGCTGCCACCGAGCCCTTCTAGCTGCTTCTGTATGACAGGGGAGGGAAGCCAGGCTCTCAGAGGCCTCCAGTGACTCACCAGCCTGATGCAATCCCTTTAAAGGGCTCATCTGCTGGTGCAAGAAGCTGATTCATGGAGGGCGTGGTTGCTAGAGGAGGAGGGGAAAGGGACCGAAACTGCAGCAGCAGGTACTGAGGTTAGATGGCTGGAATCGTTAATAGGAATTCTTCACTGTAAACTTCCCTGGTCAAGACTCCAGGGATCTACAGGTTGAAGCTGGCCATCCTCGAGGTTTCTACAAAGGCGAGGGACCTTGAGGGAAATAAATTATGAGAGCTGCGACAGGAATTTCTTTCTTTTATTGAGCCTGACTGTCGCGTTTTCCGCATAGTTCTAGAAGCTGGGAAATGGGGATCAAGGAAGAGTCATTTTTCTGATAATACACAGCAACTGGCCAATCTTCCTACTGCTGGACACTTGTCCAACCCGGCAGGGCGAGTGTAGGGCCCGCGAGGTTGGGAGGAATCAGGGCGGGGAGTGCCTCCGTCCCAGTCTCACAGCAGACTTAGATAAGCGGTAAGTACCGCCTCATTAACGCCTTAGCCTCCAATTGTTTAACAGGTTTCGGCCCAGACCCCACCCTAAACCAATCCTCAATCAGATTCTGGCCTCTTGCCTGAAGACTTCCGCCCATCGTCAAGATGGCGCCCCAATCCCCAGGACGCGGGCACAGGCAACGGAGCGGGAGGGGCGGGGCCATGGCTCCGGCCGGGAGGAGGGGGCTGTGCGTCACTTCCGTTGTCAGGTGGCGGCGCCGCAGCCATGGAAGGAGGCGGCGGCGGCTGCTCCGGCGGCTGCGCTGGGAGGCGGCGGTAAGCGGCTCCCACGCCCCCGGCCCGGCCCCGGGCCCCCGGGACGGAGCGCCGAGCAGTCCCGGCTCCGGGCTACGGACTATGGGCGAGCAGCGCTGACCATCCGGGGAAGGTGAGATGGAGGTCCTGGAGCGGGGTGTCGGGCGGGGGTTGCGGGTTGGCGGAGCGGGCCTCAGTGGCCGTGGCCGTAGGACAAGAGTGACAGCCTGAGACCGTCTGGGTATGACAGAAATGGTAGCAACGAATGCCTCCTCTTCTGTTGGGCGGGGGTGTCTCCCCTTCCCCGGCGACGGGGGCAGGGGCTGCCTAGCGCCAGGTACGGAGCGGCTACGGGAGCTTAGGTCTCCACCGCAGCCCTGGTAAGAGAGCACTGCCAGCCTTGCCCAGAGTCACTCAGCCAGTAAGTGAAGCATCCGGCGTTTGAACCCAGCTAGGTTTTTCCAAAGAGACACCCTCTGCCTCTCTATGCTTCCCTCCTGATTCGGAGAGTGACTTGAAAGTTTAGTCCCCATAGAGGGCCATCAGAGCTTCCTCCAGGAACCCTCACCCATTGGCATGGGCACCGTCGCCGCTGGGAATTTTCACATCCCGGGCGGCGTTCAGGTGCGAGTCAGCTGTCTGTTTGCCAGGGCCACGGTTAGTTGGCCTTTTCCAGGGAGAGAGCTTGCTGTGGTCAGTATTTCACCTGCTGGGCGGGTCAGACCCGCCCATTCCCACACCATTTGGCCCCACCTTCCAGGCAGTGGGTAGGGGCATTCCGGTTCTGGATGCTGAGTTCCTTCAGCACCCCTACTCCCCAGGTTTGATGCCCTTTTGTTGGCGGAAGGAAGAGATGACAGCTGCCTTATGTGGCAGAATAGAGTTTGCTCTTTTTTAAGTCACTGGAGGAAACCGGTTGGCTTTGCTTGGTTTTGGGAACCAGTGAGGAAGAGGGTAGTCATGCTGGGCTGAGGCCTTTCTCTCGTTTTTTTTGTTTGGTGCCTGTTTGGTGACTCTTGATATGAACGAGGCTTTTCCCTCTTGACTGAGTAGTTTTGCATGAGATAAGGAAGAGCAACTTATGGAATTGTAGGCCCAAAAGAATCCTTGTTTGTAAACAGTGCCTGTGAACTCCTCCAGCACTGTTTAATGGCCTTGTATGCCAGTTATTGTGGATTGGATTTAGACAGTCTGAGAGTAGCCCTCATTCATTCATTCATTCATTCATTTCTCATATGACAACAGTGTTCACCTAGAGAGGCAAATGGTAGACAATAAAGTGGTCAGGGGGTGGTGCCTGTGGCTCAAAGGAATAGGGCGCTAGCCCCATATGTCGGAGGTGGCGGGTTCAAACCCGGTCCTGGCCAAAAACTGCAAATAAATAAATAAATAAATGGTGGTCAGGAGTGGGCTTTGGAGCCAAACTTCTCCTGTTCAAATTCTGCCTCGGCAGCTTTGTCAGCTGCATGTCCTTGGACACTGCTTAATCTCTCTGTGCTCAGTGTCCTTATCTGTAAAACAGGGGCGATAACATAGACGTATTATGAAGATTTAAAAAGTTAACTCATGTAAAACACATAGAACCCTGACCACCACATAGTAAGAAGTTAGTAGATGTTAGCTATTCTTATTTCAAAAAACTCAGGGCCTAGTTAAGGGAGACTGACCTGTAAACAAGTACTTGAAATGTGGTCTGAAAAAACTAATAGCGGCAACACAGTGCTGTGAGAGCCCAATAGAGGAAGCTGCCTGGGGAAAAGGATGCAGATGAGACAGTGCCCTGGGAGGGCTTGGCTGAATTGATGTTGGAGCTTAGTCTAGAAGGAAAGAAAAGGGAGGCTTAACCAGCTGGGAATGAAGAGGGAAGTGTTCTGCTTAGCAAGAGAGACAAATAAACTCAAGATTGTTCTATGTAGTCATGTGGAAGATGACATGGTGCAAGGTGAGGCAGTATAGGTTGATAAGAGCATACCACATTAATGATTTGGGACTTTATGCCCAGGCAAGGTGGAGCCAATGACAAGGTTTTAAGCAGAGGAGTGAAATGATTGGATCTATGTTTTAGAAAGATTCCCCTGGACTGCCAGTAGAGGAGAGACCAGAGGGTTAGAAACCTCCAAGGCTACTGTAGGCCTTTTTTTTGAGAAAGAGACTCAAACTGTTGCCCTGGGTAGAGTACCGTGGCATCACAGCTCATAGCAACTTCCAACTCTTGGGTTCATGTGATCCTCTTGCCTAAGCCTATTGAGTAGCTAGGACTACAGCTGTGTGCCACCACACCACTTTAAGCTCTAATCCTGGACTGAATATTTCTCATACTACTTCTTCCCTA